CAAATTCAGATAGCAGAATTTTTAATTTTTTTTCTAAACACCTATGAAAAGCGATCATTCAGTTTCTGCTTGGACATTTCCAGTGACTACAAGCTACCTGTAATAAAGGCCACTTAATTTTCAAACAAGTGTAATCATTGAAAAGTTTTTTCTTACATCAACTTCAAATCCATCGCCCATTAATGTCTTCTCTTTAGTTTGCAGTCAGGGCTCTCAAATATAGCACAGAAAGTTGTTCCCATCTTCCATTGGACAGCCTTTCATGTGTTTAACGAGCGCCACCATGTTCCACTGCCTCCACCCCTTTCCTGGGCTAAACTCCAGGCCCCTCCCAATAGGGGTAAGGTGGTATGAGCAGGCAGTGGAATCTCCTGATGGCGGCACTCTTTTAGTGAAAGGAGTCTAAGGGCACATCAGTATTTTTAGGAGTCATGTCATGCTAAGACTCACACTGAATTTATATTCAACTACTGGCCTTTGACCTGGTCAGGCCAACTTTTGCCCATTACTGCCTTTCTGCGATGATCAATAAAACAACTACACCTAAGCCATTTAGTCCACAGGGGTTTGTATTGATCTCTTATTGAATTTCATCTTACTGATTTGGGGCCTTTATAGAGCTAAAGATATTTTTAGATCTTCATTGTATCATTTGATAGAATACATCTTCACTTCAGCTCACTGGTAACGTTGATTAGGGCACAGCTAGTGACAGACTCCTGTGAGATCTGTGGCCCCCTTCCTTTGGATAATCCCCAACCCATTAATCAACACTCTACTGGTTCAAGTTCATAGTATAGTGGACTGACTACAAATCTACTCAACTGTGTTTTTTGTATGACCTTGAGGCACTCTATCTGTGGTCTTTGCTTTGCCTACCAGTGTGGTTGGCTATCCTATCATACAATGGATTTATCTGGGGATAATGAGATGGGATTAAGGCAGAAGGAAATTTGCTAGTTTGTGAGCCCAGTGTTGGCTTGGACTGGAAACTAAGAAGAGCTGGAGCACAACTATGATCATCACTTGGGGAAAACAGAATACAATCCAATTAGTGAAAATGAGAGTCACATGCTATTTTGACAGGCAGCTAGGAGCAGGCCTAGAATTTTTAAAAGAAAATTTCTCACCAAGAGAGATATGGTTTCTGATATAAAATTTTGTATTTCAAGAAAATTAATGTGTTTCCTTATGGAATCTAATAAGAACTAGTGATGTATTTATATTTTTGCCAGTGGAGAACTTTAATTTTCCTAAAGAGGTAGTATCGGCATATACATTTTACAAAGACCCTCCTGGCTCCCAGGAAGAAATACAGGCTGCTATTGATGATTTTTGCTGCCAAGGCTACATGCTTGCCATCTAGTGGTGACTCATGTAAATTGAAGGTTGTTTATCTTAGTAAGCTTTTTGTTTCTGTTTTGTTGTTGTTTTGAAAAAAGCAAAAGGTTCCTTTAAGTCATAATCATGGCCCGCTGCCGCCCCCCCTCACACCCCCACACACACCATGGTCCCATGCATAAGTGCAGCTGGGGAAGTACTGAACTTTTTCTTCCCACTCAAGGAATTTTAGACTGAGGTCAATGTGAGTCTTCAATGTAAGATGAGTTAAGAAATGACTTGGACATGTCATGTTGGGTCTGTCCTTTATTCTGTGAAGAAATATCACTCATTCACTCTTTCATCTCATTTCACCCACCTGTCACTCATACATATGATTATTAAGCATCAGGCTTGACAAAGCAAAATGAACCACATAAAATCATTAGCATAATTAACTTGTGTAAAAAAAAACCTTAGTAATGCTACAATAATAAAATTGTGAAAGGTATTAATATTATGTTGGTTTCTAATTTTCACCTAAAATATGTTGGGAAACATCCCTGCAAGTCAAATCATATTTTCTCATTGATCTGTCCAAATACTTAGACTTGAATAATGCATTCATATGATCAATATAGATCCTTAAGGCCAAGCTACAACATTTTTATATTGTTCCATAAGAATTAAAAATAAAAAATTCCAGAAGTTCCATATATACACTGGTACTATATAAAAGGAAATCTATAGCTGAATTAACATTTATAAACAATACTGTGCTAGTTATAAACAATTAGCAAAAATCTTGTTAGTAGTCTAAAAATTTAGAAGGTTTTTTTGAGGTCTCTTAATAAAACAGCAATAAAAAGTGTGCAGTGTGGCCTTTTTATTTCTTTGGTAAGCTTCTCTGTAGTGAGAAAGTAGGTTTAAAATCTTTGCATTAAATTTATTACAGCATTTTTCAAAAATAGTCTACACCTCTACTTTTCACCAGGATATGGCAAATCCACACATGGATAAATAGTAAACATTTAAAAGCAATGTGAAAAAATGATGAAAGATGATTTTTACAGTATACAGTTTTATTGTTAAACAGTTTTATTTTTAGGAATAATTTAATGTTGATTACAAATAAAAGGGAATAAAAAGGAAGGGAATAGTTATGTGTTATCTCTTTATCTTCATAAAATCCCCTTAAAGGTGGCTCAAAGGAGTTAAGTAGCTTGTTCAAGGTCATAAGACCAGTCAGTGGAAGAGTGAAGCACTTGGTTTTGAACTTGTGTCCATCTGACCATAAATCCTGCGTATGTGAATGTGTGACTCTATGACGGTTCACTCTTTTCCCACATAAAGGTCAACAAAATGTGAAATGAACAGAGGTCTTGAGTGCAATTAGTGTAGTCATCATAATTTTGTTAAGCTTAATGTGTATTTCTACTCATTTTATTCATAATAGATTTATCCCTGAAAAACTCACCAACCTATAGTAAGAAATTACTATTCTGGAAAAGTAGAATAACTTTTTCATATATATATTTTAAAACTATATTATGAATGACTATGATGATGATGTGTGTGTACATATATTCACATCATTAAATTAGAAAAGAAAGGAAAAAGAGGGAGAGAACTCTTTCTTTTTGAGTAATTTAAAATATGTTCAAATGAGCACAATACTTAAAATGTATCCTGCAAATTGTAATTTTAGTAAAAGTGCAGTGCTATGTAATCATGTATGGCATTTACAGAAATAGATAACACTCCGGTGAGAAGCAAAACTGAACTGCAAAAGGGGGAAAGGAAATGAAACTTTAATTTTCAATCACTGACTTTTTGGAGCTTAGAGAAGTTTTTAAACAAAGGCCCAGTGTAAGTCTGTTCCCATGAGACAATCCCACATAATTCAGGAATAATGAATGCAGACGAGAAAATTGCTGCAGCTTACGGAGGCAGCTATGCAGAAGAGAATGTTTAGGCTACTGCAGATATGCGGAATTTGAGGTGCAATTAAGTCAGAGCGCCATCATTTGACCTCAGTTGCCTTCATTAACCAGTAGCTACAAGATTAGTAACATAATTGCAATTAGCTAATTGCTTGTGTATTTATTTTTTTGAATGCCTATTTTTCCTACTTGAAGGCATATATCTCTGTTTCCTGGCACAGTACCTAGCAGACAACAAGCATGCCATAAAACACTCTCCCTAATTCCTAGGTTTAGGTAGTCTAGTGGTTAAAGCTTGGGCTTTAGAGTGGGGCAGAGCTAGGCTGAGATCTTGACTCTTTCACTTATGAATTGTTATGGCCGTGGGCAGGTTTTTGAACTCCTAGGCACTCTGTTTACTTATCTGTGAAATGGAACACTAATAGAACTTACCCTAGTATGGTTCTTGCGAGAATTCAATGAGATAATGAGTGTAAAACACTCAGTTCAGAGTATACACATAGGTGGTTCTCCATAACAGCAGAGCTCATCAGCTCTTATTATATAGCAGGAGCTGGGCTGCTCATCTGTTTTTAAACTTGAGTGTGCATACGGATCATGTGGAAAAGCCTGCTGCAATGCACATGTGCAGCCTGTCACCAGTCACCAGATTCTGATTTGGTAAGGCTGCAGGGAAGCTCAGAAATTTGCATTTTTAACAGGCATCTGGGAGTAATTCTGATGCAGGGGGTCTTTGGACCACCCTTGGAGACGCACTGCTTTAGAAAGAGAATCCTCAATTCCCAGATTTCTGAAAAGATGGACAAACTAATAGTCACATATAATACATGACTCTTGAGGTTGGATAATGGAATTGGAAGAACTACCATCTTGTGTGTGTGTGTGTGTGTGTATGTGTGTGTGTGTGTGTGTGTGTGGCGGAGGTGGGGGGCGGTTGGAATTGAATAGATTTCATTAAAATTCCAGTATGAATAGCCAGCAAAATTTATGTTACTCCCACATTCACCAGGGACTGCTCCCCCATGCCCAGTCTCGGTCTCCTCAATTCTTTCCAATATTTGCCCTTAACAATGGACTTGGAAAGGATGCGCATTTGTTTGCATGGAGAATGCTCAGAAAGTGGGAATTCATGAGAAAAAGCAAACCAAATAGTTGAAAGGGGGTAAGAATGGCTCTGATTTTTAAAATCAGTCTTCATCATGATGACTTTTATGCTGAGGGGCTGGTTTCCTTAAAACTCATTATGATTGATTCCCTTAGCTTTTAGATCATATTATTGGGATGTAAACTTAAGAGGCTAACAGAAAATCTCAAAGGGCTTCCTTTTTTTTTCCACGTAAAACTTTCTAAGCTAAAGGTGCTGTAGATTATAAAAGTACACGTGCAAATGCTCCTCATGACTGTCTTGGCCTAGCCCATGGTGTAAACCCCAGCCCCAGACTTCCTGAGCCCCATTCCCAGCCCCCACCCCCATCCCCCCGACCCCCTCCTCAGGTTTGTACTTGCTAATAAGGCCAGTGCACCTATGGCACATTAACCCTTAAAGTTCAACTTAAAAGGCTAGATTTCAGCTGGTTACTGAAGACCAGCTGGAAACTAGCCTTTAGGGGGTTTTGTTTGTTTGCTTCTTGTTTTTAAAGAAAGAAAAAAGAAAAAGAAAAAAAATAGAGAGGAATATTCACATCCACTCATGATTGCTTGGAACTCAAGGCACCCGGAAGTTGGAATCCCTCTTACCAGCAGGTTCTCTGGCTTGATGTCACGGTGGACGATGTTCAGGCTGTGCAGGTATTTGATGGCGCTGGCCAGGTTGTACAGCATCCCACTGGCGTCTCGCTCAGTGTATTTGTTAGTGGAAGTAATGGCATCAAAGAGGTCTCCCCCCTGAGAAGAGACCAGCAGGCGGAGCAGCACATTAACAGATGGTCCAGTGTGACTGCCTGGAGAGGGACTGACAGGCTAGAAAGGAAATGAAGAATGCATGCAGGATCTCCGGGTTCCCTGCCACTTCCCCCAGAAAGGCCCAGAGACCTTCTGGTGACTACTCCCTCCAATGCAAAAGTCATTTCCTCCAGAGCTCAAAGAAAGAAGCAGGGTGAGTATTCTTCATCAGACTGGCAGACTTTTCCACAGGCTACAGCCTGGCAGAAGAGGCCTCATGACACTGAGGTGTCCTGGTGGCATGTGCTACATGCCTCATACCAACTCCCAGCAGAAGTTCAAATTCATAACCCCCAAAAATATGAGAAACAGGTAATACTGCAAACCGCACTCTTAACAAAATGTTCTCCTGCCTTGTGAAATTCTCTCTCTCTCTCTCTCTCTCTCTCTCTCTCTCTCTCTCTCTCTCTCTCTCTCTTTTTTCTCTCTCTCTGTCTCTCTCTTTCATACACACACACACACACACACACACACACACACACACACACTTCCCGTCATTCTCTAGATTTAGCTCTCTTGGAGTGGGTGTTGTATTTTCTTTTTCAATACTGTGTTTCTTTGTGAGGAACAGAGAAAAGAATCAAAAACTGTCAGTCCAAAGATGAGAGAGAATGAGAGGGAGGCGGGTGGAGATATTTCAAAGAAAGTTTTCTAGGACCATTATTCATCTGAACGTCTGTTTCCCTTTTTCCCTGCTAACTTATTGTTATTTGCCAAAACAATGATTTTAGGCTCCAATTCTAGCTCCATTTATCTGAACCTGATCAGAGAACTTGGGTCTGATTTACTAACACTGTGGGCATCATTCCTGCATGTGATTCACCAAACAGCTGAACACAGTAGCCAATCGTGTTCCTCTGTTACTTGGTGGGGTTGGGACTTAATTTTTCTTTTTAAAAAGCAAATGCAGAATATTTCAATTGTAGTTTTAGCAGACAGTTTTCAAATCTCACTGTGTGGCCCAGCCTTCCCTGTACAATCTCCACTAGGGAGGCTGCTCCCGCTGTCCATTCAGCCTCAGCAGTTCCCAAACTGTTGAAATACATACACTTTTTCCCAAAATGTACACTTTCTCAACTTCCTGTTTCTTTTAAAAGCAAAGCTGTTATAAGCGGGTTTGCAGGTTGTTTCTGTGCCACTCCAGGGGGCGGGATTTTCACTGTGGTCTCCGTGAATGGCACCCCAGTGCAGAAGGACCTATGGGGGGCTGTAGATAATGGTCCTGCAAAGAACGTACCCTTGTCCTAGTAATCTAGGCTCCAGGCATCCTATAATCTCATTTCTTCTTCAACCTCAGCAAAACAGTCAACACATCCAACTAGTCCTTCCTTTAAGGCAGGCTTCATCGCATCCTCTGGGCGACCCTACTCCACCTTCTAAGTGACAGCTCCTGTCCCTTCATCCCTGGATTGTTGTCATGTGGCCTGACAACCTGCACGGCTTCCTTCCATGGGCTCGGTATCCAAAGCATCCTCTGCACTGTCTGTCACCTTCCCACACGACATGCTGATGCAGATTTTCTTTCTCTCTTCAAGAAATCAGCATTCCTTTTGCATGGCTGTCCACGTTCTGCCCCCAACCTTCCTTCTAACTTGTTTAACGTCATCCCTTGCCACTATCTAGACCTTCATGCGCCAGGTAGGATATGTCTCCCCTGGTCACCAAAACAAGACGAAATCACTCTGCACTCTAAACCTGTCCTCACTAGAGCTCTTTTCCTGGAATGTCTCCTCCACCTCCCTTCCTTGTTCCAACTTCTGTTGATCTCTTAGGGTCTGGCTACAGGGCCTGCCTTCCTCTGTGCACATAAGCAGCTTGCATGTGCACACTTCTGTAGGCAAAAGTCTAAAGTCCTCTTCTTAATAATTATGGAAATTCACTTTAATAACTGTTACTTCACTGTTTTCCAGAATGAAGGAAATACTTGTTTATCCTATACCTTCCGGCACTGTTTGGCACACTCCTGGGCCCTTAGGGTTTAAGAAGCACGGCCCCAGTGACATTTCTCAGGGGGAGCGTTACGGGAACCTTTTGGGTCAAGCCTGGGATTGGCCTTCACTTCCAGACCTGGCCTCACAGCAGTCCTGGGTCAGGCTAAATTGAAGAATATAATAGTGGCACAATTGAGGAGTCCCAAAGCTGAGCTAGACACTCTCTGGGCCTTATTAGGCTATCGTGGTCACCTAGAGAACATTCGTGAAGTCTGTTAAGTAACATGAGGGCCTCCTAATTATACTTAGCTCTAGTCACTGGGCTAAATGTGACTGACAATCTGACTCAGATGTCCCACAAAACGTGTTCTTAACTCTTGAGACTTTGCCTCTTTTATTTATCATCTTTAAATTTAATTTAGTCTTTGCTCTCCAAAAATCAGCCAATGACAGGTAGCCAATCAATTTTTAACAGCACACAGAGGGGCAATGGTTATGTTTTGAAGCTTTTGGTCTCTAAATTAACGTCATTATAAAAACAACACCCTTGGTGCTAGAGAATGTGGAATTTATAATGTTAATCCTTACCAAACTTCATTTAGTAATAAAGTACCAATACAAAAATCTTCTAACTAAATGAAATCAACCTTTCCTTGTTGGAATAACCGTTTAACATTTCTATCACCCTCAGCCTGAAATATGACAATAACCTTGTGTTACTATGAACAACCTCTCTGAGTAAAACAAACCCTAACCTGAAGTACAAAAAACTAAGCTTCATCTATGAATATAAATAATCACTAAGTCAAAAAAAAAAACAACAGATCTGAAGTAAAGCAACTCTAAATGATGAAAGTTAAAAAGGTCCTAGAATGAACATTTTTCTATATACGGAGGGTGCCAAAAACATGTATACCCATTTTAAGAAAGAAAAAAAACTATTAAAATTGTAATACTCAATATATGCTGATAACAAAAGATGAATACGTCACTTTTGAATTTTGCAATTACGAGAGATGCTCAAAGTGGTTACCATCAGTGTCCAGACACTTCTGATTACGGTGAACTACTGCTTGAGCAATGTTGACCAAAGTGTCCATTTGTATACATTTTTGTGGCCCCCTCCTCCATCCCATAGTAACAGATTAGTTCCTTAAATGCTTTCTTTGTCTTAAATCTTTATCAAAGGAAGCCCCACATGCCACAGTGCTGATTTCTGCCACCAGCTTGGTGTGGGCGTCTAGGCTATCACTGACGGTGCACACAGCTGATGCACAAGGTGGTGCAACTAATTTACAACCCTTCACAACTAAAGTAGAAATTACTTAGACAATCAGTTAGATTAACACAATGCAAAAGGCTAGAAAAAAAATAACTTCATGAAAATTAAATATTCAATGTTTTAAAACTTCTAATTACTGAAAATTTCAAATATGAAAGTAGAGGGAATAGGTAAGTTATCTTTCACCTACATGCAACTATTATCAACATTTGGCCATTTTTATATTCTATGACTTTAATAGAATAAAAATGTAATTTTATGTGACAGGATGAGATGGCAGCATTCACTGAAAGGTGGTAGACTATTCACATTATTGTTAGAACTGTGCTACTTTTCTATTACATGGGTGACTAAAAGCTTAAAGCTTGTTTTTATAGGCATGGGTGATACCTTTGGATGTAGTTCATGGAAAAATGAACAATTTCTATTACTATAATAACCACAATGATCGTATTGGAATCTAGTACTTTCTGTGTCACACAAACTTGTGGCAGCCTTCCCTCTTATTCCCACAATAACACCCCTAGGTGGGTACTATTATTATTCTCATCTTACACAATATGGAACCGAAGCACAGAGATATACCTGAGATCAGGGAGCTATTTAGGTCAAAGCTGGGACTGAAATCTTGTGGTGTAATTCTAGTATTAATACTCTTAACCATGATGGCAATGCATAGAAATGAGAGACTGGATATTGGTGGGAGGAAATAAAGAGTTGTATTATAGAAAAGAGTGTGCTGCCTTATACAGGTTAATTTCTTTTTCTAAAATACGCACCTTTACCAATTCCATGACCAGATACAATTCAGTTGGCACATCCATCTCTTCAATCAGAAGGACAATATTGGGGTGCTTCACTCTCCTTAAGATAGACACCTCGTTCTGGATCATATGCTCCTGACCAATAAAGAAGCAACTTTAATTAACATAAACATCCAGAAACAGGAGGAGCTCACTCAAATGAGTAAAACTATACTATATGAAGATCAAGGGGTGTGTATTTTGGCAAAATATATGAATGCATCTTAGGTTCTGGTATTCAGATAGCCTAGAATTGCCACAACATGAAGGTCCTTAGATGATGCTGGTAATTCCAGAATCTATCACTGTAATTATAAGTTCATGTAGAAGGATGGAATGAACGTAGATCACAAAAGTAATGGAAAAAGGAAATAAACAAGCAAACCAAGGTAAGAAAAAAACAACAACATCCAATCATTCCAGCTAACTTTTATTCCAGGACTATGCATAGAATAATGTTATATCCTAACTAGTATATAACATTCTAGTCCATCAAAATACAACAATTGGGGTGCACGTATGTTTATTTGGGAGCTGAACTCTGTGTTTCTACCCCCTGAATACTGTATTTTCATTAAGAATAAACCTTATACATACTTTGCCTCGACATTTGCTTTTCTTGATAATTTTCAGGGCATACTCCCTAGCAGTCGACCTGCAAAGAGAAAGATTTTTTTTAAAACATACACTTAATTTCAGATCTATTGAATCATCTTGTCAAGGCTTAATTTCTTATCCCATAGATCTTGCATCATGGTATAAATATTTTGTGAATGACTCTTTTTTTTTTTCAAAGATACGTAAACTTTTAGGGGTTAAGTGTAAGGACAACAAATATGCCCGCACAGACATATCATGAGCTGTTAATGTGGCCATACTTGTCACAAAACCACCACTATTGCTAGTGCCTTGCTAACTCCTCCTGCCAGGTAGCCCTGCCCTGCCTTCTGAAGTGATGGGATCAGGATGCCAACCAGATGTGAGTTTCTGCCCTTCCTCTTCCCAGTTTCTCATGAGGGTCTCTATCCATGAAGTGTAGCTGCGGCCGTTTTCTGAATGGTTTGTTGGTCACACCGAAAACTCGACAGAAGCAGTTCAGTCTTTAGACTTGGGTTCAGTGGGCAAACCTAGGCAGTCACCTGAATGACTCACGGATAACACATTCAAGGTGTAGAAAGGGAGATAACCATTATCTGAGCTTTCTGTGACCTCTTGGGCCGTTAATCGCTGTCTCATTTCACAGAAATTAAATGGAGGTGACAATTAAACTCAATGTGCTTCCCCAACGCCACGTGGCAGTGCTAAAATTGGGACTCTGAGTTCTTGAGATCTCTGCTTCCTTCACCTATAGTCCAACCAACACTGTCCCTGCTCTGTGATGGGTGTGGGCGGGAGGGTTTTGTCATTTTGCTGCCTTTAAATAGCTTCCTAACTTGTGTTAACATCTCTAAGATACTGTAGTACCAAACGCCACACATTTTTTGTCGAAGAACACAATGTATACTTAATAATCATAATAAACCATGACCTCACAAGCAATGCCATTTCATTTCTGGTGGAAAACCAAGGCAGCCTAGCCTTTTACCTATAGATAAAAGCCACTTTTAGAGATGTAAATGAATGCAGTGGGAGTGAGGCTGATAAAGAACAACATTTTTAAATAAGGTTTTAAAATCTTCAGAATGGAGAATCAAAGTGGGGGTTCCTAGTTATAAGGTTGGAGCAAGAGAGTGTTTGCCTATAAACAGATTAAGAGGCCAGATATTAACAACGTGTTTCAAGGGCATTTTAGAAATCAATCCTGTCATTTGCTTCTAAAAATGCTTCTCCCACTAAGCTTCCAGGCCCCTGCATAATGCCAGCTTGCAGAAAACAATAAATATTGACCAAATGGTTGTAATTATATCTGGTGGATAAAACCAGAATTAAATAATCACTTTGAAGCCTATTTTCTCCACTAGAGGGCTTTTTTGGATCAGATGGGAGAAAGTAAACCCTTCTGCCTCAGGGTAGCTCTCCCGCTGAGATGTGGGGGTGTCCAGATGAACCCAAATTGCTTCAGCCTCATGCAGAAATGGACTGAGAGGCCCAAGGATCCCCTTTGTTGATTCAATCTTTGTTGATTCTTCAGGCCGATGGCTGAGCAGAGAGGCCATGATGGGGGAAGGCATGAGCTGGCTAAATGCAGGGCTTGGGGCTCAACGACCCCCACATTAACACCAGACCATCAGCAAGGCCGTGGGGGCAGGGGTGGAGAAATAGCATTTCAGTGAGAGAAGACGAGAGATTTATCACTGGAAATTTAAAATGTAAGGGCAAATAAGTGTGAAAATGGTTACTCACATACAAAGGGATTCCTCCCATTACAGAAGAATCACAGGGCCCTTTAAGACCCTCCTCTTAGGAGACTTATGAGACTTTGCAAATTTGATAATACTTAATCAAGAGGAAAATTAAAAGCTACAGTATTTCTTGATTCTGCTTTTCAGGAATCACTAAAAAATTATGATAAAGCAAATCTGAGATTTGAATCCATAAGCAATTTCCTATCTGGTTTAAAAGCTTCAGTTGACGGCAGGCGGGTCTGGACAAGTGGACTGATGGCTGTGATGAAAGCCAACAGCAGTCCCAGGAAGGCCAGAGAGGCAGGATGGAGCCGCTCTTCCACTGGGTGCCTCCATAAAAGGGATGAATGGTTGGGAAGGTGCTGGTGAAAAGTGGGAGGTTTCTTAGCTTTATGATACCCCATGTTTGCCATCTAATCCTCCATTTACCTGGAAAGAGTAACGTTAAAGTGCTCAAAGCAAAGGGCTGGTATGGGACCCAGGAAGGCTGAATCTTCTCCACAGCCAGTCAGACAAGGAGCAGGCTTCCCAGGGAGCAAGTGGGTCCCAGCCAAGTGCTCGGGGTTTTGTCCTGAGCCTACAGCCATGGGGGAAAATGCAAGCCTGCACTGCAGTGGCCCTGGGGCTTAATAGGAAAAAGAACCTTGTGGGTTCACAGCACAGAATCTTACATAATAGTATTAAACACCCAATTAAATTTACCCATATTTTATATCAGACAATAAGTCCCATAGGAGACCACCAAAATTAACACTGCAAATTTTCTTTCTTGAGTCCTTGAGGGCAGAACTATAAAGTCACAATAAAATCCTTATTACTGGAAGTACATGTTTATAGGAAAGTAGTTAAGTCTGGAAAATGAGCCTAAAAACAGGTGTTAGGACCAAGTATATACCATAGAATAAAAATTTAACTGCTTGCTTTAAGTTGGTAAGTGAAAACACTTGGCAAGAAATAAAACTTTAAATAAAGTATTTGTCTTCCTACATACCCTAAAGAAGACCGCGATGCCTATGTAATTATTCAGTAAGCAGTTACAAGCATGGTGCTCCGGTGGCTACAGCAGTGAATGACACCTGGTCCTTGTCCCCAGGGAGTCTATAGTTAAGTGTATTGAGAAGAATATTAGACACCTGGGTTGCTGCTAAAAATAGAGGTCATTTGCTTGCTTGTCCCTGAGAGTATATGCTTGACCTTTTACAGGACTACGGAACCCTCGAATGCCATAGCAAAAGCAGCCGCCGCCACAGAACAAACTTTGTTTTCCTCCTGGTCTGTGGGAACTCAGTTCGTAAGGTCTTCTTCCTATTTAGTTTGACCCAACGTTAAAACCTGATTTACTAGAGAGAAAGTGTCCAAACTTGAACTAAATCTAATTTTTAATGTTTGTGCTAAAACTGGCTTGGAGAAAGCTGCCTTGTTTAATTTAGTGATTCTCAATCCTGCCAGTCTTCCCCTCCACCCCCCTCCACCCCTGAGGACATCGAATGGAAAGGGGAATGGGCTGACAGAGGTGGGGTTGCCGTGGACTCAGGTACTTTTTGTTATTGTTTGCTATGTTTTGAAGGTTTTTTAAAAAGATTATGTGGAAAAGGAAGAACAGCTTCTTAATTATTCCTCCACCACAGCATTTATTGAATTTCATGGCAATCCTTTGTTCATGGGCAGGATCTCCTGAAGAGGGACTGTGTCCTATAGCCCCGGAGATGCCCAGCACAGGCACGAACTGACGGGAGCTCCAAATATGTTAGTCTAGTTGTGGAAACTCCAGAGGATGGTGGCAGTTAGGACAGGGACAGGGAGACCCATCAGCCAAGAAGGCTACTGAATGGCACACTTTGTTTCCGAGGTAATCATAATAAAGCTACTCGTCAGCCTCCTCCGTAAGGGGGTAACTGCCGAGAACAGAGGACTGAGGCACCGCACAGTGTCTTGCCTACATCCCGGAGTGGAGTTTTATTTTGAATTTATATGTGGGTCCTAGGCTATCAGGTGCCAGAGCATCCTCAGGAAGAAAAGAAGGGAGAACACTATCAGCTAGCAGAGGGCTATCTTAGCTGCTTCATCCTGACTCATCCTCCCTACCCCACTTCAGAAGGAAATGCCTTCAAACTATAGGTATGTAGTTCTTGAGGTCTTTGAGAATTGGAAGACTTTTCTAGGTGGATGCAACCCATTTTGGTGACACTGACATCTCAGGTCATTCGGGTGAGGCTGCCTACGTGCATTGCTAGAGCTAGTAGATTTGCTATGCCACCCTTCAGGCTTATAGGTGGAGGAGGGGTAAGAGAGGGAATAATGAGAGCTAGGATTTTAGTACAGTTCTGATGCTTACATTACTGAAAAATGCAAGCAATTCAGGTGGGGAGGATGGCCAAGAGCCACCTGAGACACCACCACTGCCCCTGACCGCATCACTCTACCCTTCGCTGGTGTGGTAATTAGTCCATACAGGGCCAGGAAAGCCAGATGTGAGGCCACCTCATCTCCAGCCCTCCGCCCATTCTCTGGCCTCTTGTTAGTGCTTTTCTGTTCTTTGACTTTTCTCTAGGGCCTCCAGATAACAGCTTCAAAATGGAGCCCGTCTCAGTCTACCACCTTTCATTAGCAAATCCTAGGGGCTCCTGAGGCCATTTGGAGAAACTGCTACTGGAGGACAGGCAGAAATCTAAGTGGACCTGGCAGCCACTATCAAAGGCTATGCTGGCATAGGTCCATGGAAGGAAAGGCCAGTGCAACACTGTTATTACACCCATTGTTGCAGGAAAATCTTCCCTGTGACAGCATATTATTAACAGTGCAGGGACATACTTGCTCTTGTTAATAAATATTCATCCTTCAAAATATGGCAGAATGTACCCGCCAGCAATGTGTGCCATTCACAATATTCTTAGCTTGCTTTTGTTTTCTTGGACCTCTGGAAAATATTAAAAGAATGTTTCATGATACCTCTGGGGAGAGAGGGCACATGCCATATGTCCTCGTTCAGCAGGAAAGGAATACTAACAATTTTTGGAGCAATCTGGTATTTAGACTCCAAAGGTTCATACAGCGAGGCCCAAGATGTGAACTTATGCAAAATAAACACAATCCAAACTAGAAAGAAATAAATTAATTCTGGATGGAGAAATGAGAAATTCCTATTGCAGGAAGACCAGTACTGTTGAACTAAGATGCCATCCTGATCCATGTACTAGCTAGGACAAACAGCACATGTCCACAACGCCAGACTCGACAGATGGTGAACACTGGCAAATAACCAGATACCCCACAATGGAAGGGTATGGCAATCTGTTTAAAATGGGATTTTCCGCGACAGTGGAAATTAAAGTTACTATCAGTCAGATTTACAATCAGTAAAAGCATACATTAAATATAAAATTATATAAATACACTTCCATCCATTACCTTAGGAATGGCTTTCCCAATTTAATTTCTGTCTTCTTTGCCCAGGGACAAATATAGGGTGTGTGACTGGCTCAGCTAAGCCATATTGTTGTGGGAGACTCCTTGTTGGAGGCAGTGAAACAGAGTGGTCAAAAGCATGGGTTTTGGAGCTGGGGTCGGGTGTATGCCTTGCTAAGTACTTACTAGCTGAATGACATTGGGCATTTAAGTTCTCCAGACATTCTTTGTATAAAATGGAAATAGTACTGATATTGTGAGGTCATTATGATAATTAAATGAAATATCATAAGTTAAGGGCCTTATATACAGTTTATGCTCAGCAAACAATGGTTGCTCCTGTTTGGAGAGATGTGTGGCCCAGGAAAGTAATGGGCCATTGTCTTTATTTGGCAGAAACAATGAATGGTCAAGCTCTGTACTGAGGGTGGGAAAATGAGGGCACGAGAGGAGAAAAAGTAACCTCACAGTAGCAATTAAGGGATTTTTCAGGCTCCCTATTAATGCTCAAGTCGTCCCTCACAAAGAATGGCTGCTGTGGTGTGCGCTGTCACTGTTGGGGAGATCTTGGCCCAGTTGATATGTTGGGGCAGTAAAGCTGGAGATGCAGTACTGGAGTGCAGCTTAATGCAGGCCTCATTCCTTTAGGAAGGGAAGTGTTTTCCAAAGAGTGGCAAAGGGTTCTCGGAGCAAATCAGTGGGCACTGGCCAAACTAGGACCCTCATGGTGCATGAGGCCCTGTGTAGACTCGAGCTCTACTGTGCTTCTAAATCAAAGTCCTTGGAAGGAGCACACGTTTTGCACCTTGTAAGCTAAAGCTCCTAGTCCCAGGCGTCCTCTCGGAGAGGGGTGTAGAGCATAGGAGCATTATTCTCACACAGTGTTGAGGAACTAGTTGGGCACCCAGCCCCAGTGGGGGCCAAAAACAGTAACAGGGAAGTGTGGACACCCAGGCCAGCCGCCAGGAAGCCAGCAGACTCACTCCCTCTGGGAATGAGGCACGCTCCCCCTGACTTTTTAATGTCCTGCTCACCCAGCTCTGAGGAGAAGCTGCTGGCTGAACAGGTTCCCTTAAGGCAAGCAACTGCTCAAGAAACGAATTCCAAATCTAATGCTGGGCTTAGGGTTTGAGGCCACCTTAATTGGAGCTTTAGTTTTATTAGTTGTCACTTCTCCATCTGGTAGCCACCAGTTGTCCTTGGTTAGGCATTGAATTCCCATGGATAGAACTTTCACTCCAAACCCTTCCCTTCGGCTCATAAGAGTACCCATCTTATTCATTATAAAATATTTTCATGCATTAAACACCATTTGTGTTGGGATCAGCAGATACGCATTTTAAAGCTCTTCAAGGTTATTGTATTTAATTTTATGGTAGTACATTTTTAGATATATATACTCTATCCAAGAATGTCTGAACTCTACAAAATGTCTCAAAAAAAGTGTAGAAAAAACTACTCAATGTACTCATATGTATGTATGTATTTTTTTAAAAAATGAAAGGACTTACCTGAGAGATCTGGCAAAGTTTTGCTGAGTACATTAAAAAGAAAAATCAAAGTCCTTAATTTATAGATTGTCCCCAGGAATCACTACATTTTTCAAATGTGTTGTTAGATGGGCTTTGCTTTCTTTTAAATTTTTTTTACATCTGGAGTTGAGACATTAACCAATTCCATATGTGCCATAGACTGCAAATAAAGACACAATCTCGGCAAACATAATGCCAAATGTTTCCTTTAAAGTTGGATGCAAATGATCTCCTCCTCACCTTTCTATGCATTCCTTGACAACAGCGAAATTCCCATCTCCTATTGTCCTTCCGACTTTATATCGTTCTGTTATTGTGGCTGGAATCTGGAAGCCTTCCTCCGACACTTCTGAAAGAATCATTAGTATGTTTTTATTGGTAGAAAAGGGAACAGAGATGTTGCACAAAGGAGACGTTTAGAGAAGTATCATCTAATAGACTGGAACTGATTCAGAATCAATATGTCATTTTCTGGACAGCGAGGCTAGCGCCCCCCCCCCATCCCCACCACCACCAGGCTGACACTGTATACTCAACAGTTTTTACTAAGACAAATGATAAACTAAAAGGAAACGCAAAACGGATGGGGTCCACTCCCACCTATGTAAGAGCAACTTATGCTTTCTGCTGCAGTGGAGAGTCTGTGGAGGAAGTTTTGATCTTTTTATTTCATGCCAATTTGATCAATAGCATTGACTGAATACCTGCTGTGTACAGAGAAGTGACATTTCTAAGTATGGCTCAAGAGGAAAATGCAGTTTGTAAGGGACTCTGGGCTGCCAGACATTGTACAAAGCATGAAAAAAGCCTGCTGTTTGCACACTTAGCTTTACTACATCCTGAAATGGAGATCTCCGTAAAATTCCATATGAACTAAGCCCTGATTGGCACCCCTCACAGTATAAATGAGCAGATTTTAGACTCAGTTCTCACCAGCAACCTGCGTAGCAGATGTTGAATTAAAATTGCAATATCTATTATGTCTGTGAACAGAACAGTTTTGTAGTTTCAATTATGTTAGTGCCACTAACACAACGCATTTTCCCTCTTAAAATGTATTTTGAAATATTTTACAAATGCCTAATAATGCTTTAAATATCTAAGGCCATAAAACTAAATAAGCCACACTTAGGTCACATAAATATACTGGATAACCTTTAACATCTTAGGGGTGTAAAAAGCCTTTTATAGCAGGGCTTTAAAATTTACATGCTTTAGAGTTATAAATCCTAGCTCTCCCTCAGGCAACCTGAATACGAAATGCCGATGGAAGCCTAGCGTGCTTTCTAAATGTGCTCTTATTCTGACCTTTAACCATAAACCGAGACTCAACATTTCTTCTCAAAATAAAATTAAAACCTCAGGTGGTGAATGGGCTTTCTTGGTGAGTTTTGTATTCTCTCGTTTAATCTGGATTGTTGGGGAACAACAAATGGAAACTCAAAATCTTCAGACATCTGCTTTTGGGCCCTTATTCTGGTTTTGTGATAGTGTTCAGTCGGCACCACTCTGGATGCGAGGGTGGGTGGAGGTTCTGTAGAGCATTGTACCGACGTCAGGCATGTGCTACTTCTGCTCTTGGCTTTTCTACACCCTCTTCACCTCTTTGTAAGTGACTTCTATCCACTAGAAGCTATCGCAGTGGTTTCCAGGATAAAGTAAGAGCTGGAGCCAATTAAACGCCCCCTACCTGGTTTCTCGCCCCCAAAGAAGCCAATAATGTTGTCTCTGTTTGAAAGACTCAGCCTGGGGGATTTTGTCTACTCCACGGGAATTTGAAGAGATGGTTGGAGAAGTTTCAAATCCACTGCAAAGTACTCGAATTTACAAAGCATCTCTCAGGTGACATGGTTTTAAGGCTCTTTACTACATGGATAATAAAAGTAACCATCTTTAGCTGATGGGTGGGAAATAGAAGAAGGTATTTCCATCCTTCCCGCCCGTGGGTCCATCACCAAGGCACCCACCTACAGCACATGGCTTGGATTTTTTTCTCTCCCTGACTATTGATAAAATGTACCTGTTAGTCTTTGGGCTAAGAAAATTAAACCATGTCATTTAAAACAAATAAGGGGAGCTGATTCTTTAAAAGTGGTTTGATCATACCAGATTTATACTTTTCTAAATACCTTTCCATAATAGATTCGAGCCTGGAGTTATCCCAGGGAAGAAACAGGCGTGTATTACAATCTCTGTTTTACAGAAGAGAAACTAAGATGTGGAGTGTTGAAGAGGCTAACCCAAAACAATCAAGTGAGTTGGAAAAGTCAGCTCTGGAATCCAGGTCATTTAACCACATCACAGAGAAATTCTAAAGTGAATTAGTTCAAAGTACAAAGAATATTTTTGCAATTGTCATCAATTAATTCTTTTTATAAAGCCATATTTTCACATATTGAGTTCACTTAAGTTAGCGTACATCTGCAAGGCTATAACAGTCGATCAAGGGAGTACACTAAAAGTGAACGGAGTTTGGAAAAACAAAGGCAGCAATTACTCTCTTTTATTTTCCAAGTGGGCAATAGCTGGCCTTCTTAGGATACTTATCCCCTTAGAGGATGTGAAACATTGTTAAATTAGGCTGATTTCCTCTTTCCTTTCCCATGGAGTAGATATGATCCCTGGAGGCAGCCATAGTCAAGCCTATCCCTTTGCTATTTATTGACTCTTATGAGCTGCTTCAGGTTTGTCCATTTCATTCTTCTTGAGAAGTTACAGTTTCCTGGAGTAAATTTAGCCAACCGATCCTCTGCCCCTTGTCCAAGCTGAGCCTTCTCCTCAGACACCAAGTCCCAAGCTCACCACCTTCTCCTGGTCCGTCATTCTCGTCCATCGAGCTGCAGACTTTGGTGGATGCAAGTGAAGTAGAGGAGCCGCCATGTTGAGAGCTCTGGACAGGAACAGAAACAGAATAAGGACACTTGGTCAGAGTGCCCAAGTCTCCAGGTGCTGTGCCCAGCCCAGAACCCCAGCAGGTAACTGTACCCACTACCAGGGAAGACCTGATGTTAACACTCAGGAAGGGAGGTTCTCATTCAATTCAGACTACTTCTCCCTCCTACCCTATTAACCAATAAATTATATTAACTGCGTGAGGCTAATCATTGCCAATTTGGATAGTACATGGATTTTGTATTCCTTTTATTCAAAGTTAGCATTCTTTAGCTCACTATTTGGATTTGGCAAATTTTTAGGCATCTCACCTCACTCTTCCACGTATTTTTTTTTGCAATATTTGCAATATTTGCAAATAGTCCTCAAATATTCTGATCTCCTGGAATATTTTTCTATTTTTAACATAGAAACATTTTTCTCTTCAATTGGTTTTTATGAAATATTCTGAAAACAAATATTCAGCCTTACCACATCCTTGGAGAAAGGTTAAAGAGTGGGTTTGTTAATTCCACTTTGAGATAAAGATAAGTACTCAGCAGGTTATCAATATGTTAAATATTATATAGTAGATCTGAGGCAAGACGGAAATAAAAGCCTACGCCTGGTGATTCCTTGTATATTTGGTGTATTTTGACCCAGGACCCATGAAAGCAAACAGGGTAACAACTACATTAGAAAGCTCAACACTACCAAATATTTAATACTACGATGAGCTATGGGGCAGTACTTTAACAATGAACGTTTCCATCTCTGCATCTATTGAGAAAACAATTTGCACATTCAATGCTATTTCTAAATAGTGAACACAGCTTGTCCTAAAAGATCTTCCTTCTGTTTCCCTGGGCTTATCCACTTGGTTGGCCTGATGGGAGCAGGAGGCGGTGAGGGGGCGGCATTGGCTCATGGTGCTGGCTGTCTGTGGAGCAGAGAGAAGGGAAAAAGCATCTGTAGTTGAATGAATAATGAAGGGGTGGCGAGAGGCAAAGTTGACCTATTTTTCCTCTGCTTACCTGTCTCCCTTCAACCTCCTCCCCATTCCATCCAGCCTTAACTGTGCACAAAGTAGGAGGGAAGAAAAGCTTCATATAATTTCATTATGCCCAATAGTATCTTGCATAAGAAATTCAAAACTTTTGTTGTCACCAAAGATTAATAGAGAGATGCTACCTAAAACATTGCAGGGCCATTTGAGTCAACTGCCACAGGACATTTTCCTGAGTGTGGCTAAGATGAGCTCATTCCATGGGAAGAGTTCATCAAAGCTGACAGTTGACACCATTGGGATAAAAGTTAAATTCACGGCAGTGGTGCCCCTGATTCCTTCTAGAACTTTCTAGAAGTTTTGTGGTTACTCTACTAAACCTCTGAATGCCACATAGTTTGCGTGGCATGCCCTGTGTTTTCCAATATCATAAGAATCCCTTATTAATTAGCCTGGTGACTCGAGCTAGTTTTCCAGCCTGTCTCATCTAGTCTCCCTTTGTGACCAGCAGCATACATTCATCCTATTTCAGGCTAGAAAGAGGGACTCAGATTGTGACCTTGAAACAGAGTTTTTCTTGGTGTGACACTTACTAGAGTCACAACCAACTCTGTCGAAGGTACGGTTAACATATGAGCTTCTAAGCCATGCTCTGCTGACTTTTACAAATGTCTATTTGTGACAACCTCATATTAATATTGGAATCTGAGGATGAGATGAGGCAGATTTATGATGCCAATGTCTGGAGAAAATCAGCATTAACATTACCACATTTGAGCGGAAGGTTTCCCAGAACAGTGAGATCTTTTATCCCCCGTGCCATTGCCTTTGCTGTAGACATAATGGTGTTCCAAGCAGAAAAGCAGTAAGATAATTTCTAAAATGTGGACTTCTGCTTCTGGCTTTCTGGTCCTTGAATTTCTTCCAGCAGCATCACAAATGGTGTTTAATAATGTAGACACACTGTGGTTTGGGGTGGCAGGTGCTGTCTTGTCATATGGCGTTTTAAAGTTTAGAACACAAAGACACATTCTTTCATCAAGCACCAGAATTAATAGACTAGTAGCGTGTCTCCTAGCAAAAATGTCCACAATTTATGTACTCGATTCTAAAAGCTTGTTCTTTTAATAAGAACATCAGGTACTCAATACAGAACTCTGACCCAAAGTATATGAAAACATCTTTTAAATTATAATATCCTACAAACTTGCTGTATGTTATTCACTAAACAGCTTTATCAGCTAATGAATTGTATTTTCAACAGTGCCACCAAATGTCTGATGCCCTGAACGCTTGCCACAGTACCAGCTGTGTTTTCTCTGTCTTATGAACAAAAACCCCTCAGGGTTTTTTGACTCTGGTAAAAATAAATAAATAAAAGTAGGGTTAACACAAGTTTGTTTATGTTTACAATTGCTTACTTTCTCAACTTTAGGTTTGTGTTTTTGAAAATGCACCCCAAATCATTTCAAATTTCATGCTGAGTCTGAGGTTGACAGATGACTGACAGTTTTAAGAGAAAAACTTATTTAATTACAAATAAGGTACCGTGAAAATTATAAGTTCTCATTTTATTTATTATGCTCAGATAGAGTTAAATAAATGTATTAGATTTCTAATGGTGTTATCTCTTCTTTTCCCCAAAAAAGATAGGTAACATATATACTTTTCCAAGACAATGATCATTCATGGATTCAAAGAATTACAGGGACTGGAATGGACCTTAAATATTACCTATTCCACCCTATTTCTATCCAGAAACCAAATTCCCACTGCAAAAACTCCAGCTATGTGGTCAAATGGCCTCTGTCCAGACACCTCCAGTTCTGAACACATTACTTCCTGAGCCCCTTAACTATTAATAAAGGCACAGGAAGTTCCTTAAATTATGCTGAAATGATGTGCCCCACATTTTTCTGTTTATTGGTCTTAGTTGTTACCTCTGGAACTACCCAGGACAGTTCTAATCCATTTCTCATATGACAATGCTTCAGGTATTGAAAATGGCTACTGGCCATTTGTGTGTCTTCTGTTTTTCGATTTGAATATTTCCCATTTTTTTGGTGGTTTGTCATGTGACAGGGCTCCCATGACCCCTTCATACTCCTGTGGACACACAGCAGTTGTCAATATGTCTTGTTAAAGCTGGTGCTCAAAATAAATGCAATATTCTAGGTGTACCCTGACCAGCAGAGAAGGATAAAGCTTTCTTCCTTGTGAGGAGAATATTAATGCACTTTCAAATCATATTGGCTTATTGTTAGCACCATAATGTGTTAGCCTTACACGAGGCTTATAGTCGCATCCGGTCTCCCTGTTCTGTATGTGGGAGGTTGATGTTTCAGATCAAGTCTAAGACTTCTCATTCATTCATGTTCAATGTCATCTTTATTACATTCCTATCCTTCCAGCCTGTTATTTTTTGGATTCTGATTTTGTCATCTAACGTTTTTACTCCCTTTCCCAGTTGAAGTCATTCAGTAATCAGCATGGCTCTTTATGTATGCTTCCTACTAACCCTAAATATACTAACCTAGACAGTGCTGGCTCATTTTGATTACTGTCCATAAATTTGATTGAAGGATTATGAAAACAGTAAAGAAAAAATGTATATATTCTTGTTCTTTAGAATTAATCCAATGAGATTAATGAGACTTTACTGATGACCAACAGAAGCTGAAAAGTCCACTTATATTTTTGCATGTTCATAAATAAAATCAGTTTACTTATTTGGTTTTTCTGAGCAGGTAAACCATTTTATAGTCTACATGATGATAAAATTTTGTGTTTGCTTAATCAGTTAGCTAATTCCAAGGCACCTGGGGGTACAGTTCAAAACATACAGTTACTTTAGAATTTAATGCAATTAGCTGCTTTAAGATATATTATGACACTTGAAATGTCATCACCTCCAAGCATATTTAATGGACACCAGGTGGCCAGGTTGCTGGCACCTGGATGCCTTTATGGCACACCTTCATAAAAGCACTGCCCTAAGTAAGAACACATCCTAAGTGTAGCTATTTAACTTGGGATCATATAACAGATGGAGAACATATCACACTTTTTGAAGTAAGTGAGAAAGCTGACATAACAGCTCCAACCACATTTTACCAAGATGTACCTGATGACTGTGTAGTGAAAAGCAGTTCATTTTAAATATAAATTGTGTAAGTTACTCTTGCCATTTGCATTAATGGCGTCACTTAGCTGGGGTCCACATTGAATAAAGATTTCAAAAATATCCCATTGATTCAATTGATCTAATCAAGGTAAAAAACAATTTCACCAGATAACTCTAGCTTTGGCTGGATAAGTGTGTTACTTCCACTTTGCATTTTGTCTTGGTAGACAGTTATTACTTTGTTAATGTTAATTTGAAAAATGACTTAAAAATCTATAAATCAGCCAGATTAACTTTATAAAGGAAACACACCCAATAAAATATTTAACACATTCAAACAGTTGTCTTGGTGATCTTGACTTGAAGTCTACAGAATCTCTAAAGATGACCTCATAGAACAAAATAAAATCATAATCTTGGTGTAGAAAGCTTGAAACCCATGGGATTCTATGTGTATATAGAAAAACCATGCATTTCTTTACTTTCTAAGTAGGTGTAGAACCATAAGTTGATGATATCAACCTGTAATAATTAATAAGCCCTCATTATTTGAAACAAAGCACAAAAGGAATTCCTTTTTCCCAATTCTTTTGTCTGGATTCTTCATAGTATGTTTAGCCTAAATAAAGTTTATGCTATAAGCAATCATGTGCATAGCTAACAGTGAAGACTGAAAAATGTAAAATGTTACCATAAAGATTTGCTCAAAGTTTTTAAAAGACTGAAGAACTATCATTCATGAAATTGGTTTACCTCGAGAAAGATAGAAGGAAAATGGGAATATTGGCATTAAATCTATTTTAATGAAGCCATGAGAGCCAAGATTTCAAAAGTAAATGTATTTAGTTACAGCTTTGTTGTATCTGACAGTCTTTGCTTCAACTCCAGT